GGCGAACACGCGAAATTCCGAAAAGTTGAACTGCGCCGCCGCGGCGCGGGGTGTCTGTACACCCCAACTTGCAAATTCCGAAATTCAACTTCCGCGAATTACCCGGCATAAGTCCGCGCTTTTTGAGCCAGAAAATGGCGCAGAAAGAGCCCGAAAAAAGAATCCCCTCCACGCAGCAAAAAGCCACGAGTCTTTCCGCAAAAGACTTGCTGCGGTTCATCCACTTCGCCGCCCACGCCGCCTTCACCGCCACCGCGGGAATGTTGTGGATTGCATCAAATAAATGTTCTTTTTCTTTTTCGTTGCGAATGTACAAGTCGATCAGCACGCTGTACGTACACCCCCGCCGCGCGAACCACCGCCAAACACAAGTTTCCAAACCAGCTCAGCCGCCAGTGCAACTCGCGGAAACTCCACCAACAACCACTTATATCAAACAACAAGTCCTGATCTTTTTATTTTTCCAATTATTCTTCAAATGCAACTTCTTATTTGCTGCCAATTCCGCACTAATGCAAACGCGAATTCAACGAGCCGCGCAGACACACCCCAGCAGCGCGGGGTGTACGTACACCCGAACACCGCGCCAACGCGCGGCGAAGCGACCCAAACCCTAACCCCAAACCCTAAACCCTAAACCCTAAAGGAGGGTATAACGGACCTGTAAGTCTCGGAATGGATGTTTTCAACTGCTATTTGAAAAGCGTAAAAGCTCCGAGCTTCTGGAATTTGAACTTCGGCCATAAACCTCTCCGCGAGGTTTTCCATCACAATGCCGTCGCTGTACAGACACCGCAGCCCTAAACCCTAAACCCTGAACCCCAAACCCTAAACCCCAAACCCCAGGAGGCGTTGCAGCGAGTGCGCAGCAGCTCGCCGCGCCGCGCAAGCGGGCGAACGGCCCCACCCCCCACCCGCACCCCCAAACCCTAAACCCTAAACCCCAAACCCTAAACCCTAAACCCTAAACCCTAAACCCTAACCTGGCGGCGAAGAAGGCCAGGACGTGTTTGATGAAGTGCTGCTCGTTGGCGTCCAGAGTGGCCCAGTCGACGAGGTCTGCACTCATGTCGATTTCTTCTGTTGTCCAAAACGAAGCTTCTGCTTTTTTGTACATGTTCCACACTTCGTGGTGCACTATCGGCAGCACCACCTGCGCAGCAGCAGCAGCAGCAGCAGCAGCAGCGGCAGCAGCGGCAGCAGTTGTGAGCGCGGGGGGTTTCTTCGCGGCTGAAGAGCTGCGAAGGGCACAAAGCCCGTCGCTGCTTCTGGACTACTGCATTCAAACCCCGGGTTCCCGAGGGCCCCTGACTTGCTGCTGCTGCTGCTGCTGCTGCCGCTGCTGCTGCTGCTGCTGCTGCTGGCGGCTCACCCATCTTCTGGGGTTGGGCCTGAGGAGAACCTCTTCTTTTTCGAGGGCTATGAGGGTTTGGGAATATTCCTTTTCCTCCTCAGTGGAGAGGCGCTGGCCAATTTCCTCGAGCTGCTGGGGATCTGCTGCAGCAGCAAGCACTGCCTGCGCGTCTTCCCACGAAAAACCCATTTTGCAATTTGCAAAAAAGAATAAAAGTGCAAAAGTGCAGCAGATCAGCGGCAGCAGCAGCGCGGGGCGCTGCAGCGTCGAGTGTACAGACACCTCGTGCGCGCAGCCGCGGCGCGCCCGCGGCCAGCTTTCCACGGAATCGCGGCCGGAAAAGGCGCAAATAAAGCAGCAAATGCAAATAAAGAATAAAATGGAAAGAAATACTTTTAATTGTCGGAAAAAGGAACTCGAAATGGCGCCAGAATGCCACCGACGCCCGCAGCAGCCGAGCGCACACGAGACCCGGCGAGCAACTGCAACTGCCGCGCGGACCCTCCCAACACCTTCAAAGACGCGATCTTTCAGCTTTTTGCTTCGAATTAAATATACAAAAGAAAATAAAAACGAAATAAAGAGAAACTGCGGAGGGTGCAGCAGCAGCAGCAGCTGCGGCGCCTCGGCGCTGCAGGGGGTTACGGGCGCGGGGGTGGTGGTTGCTGCTGCTGCGGGTGTTTCTGGGGTTGTTCCAACGCCCAGCGCGCGAACTTTAATCTACTTCTCTATAATTCAATTAATTAACTCTTTTGCGAAACAATTTAAAACATTTGGCGGCCAAAGAGCCGCAAAAAAGCCTGCGCCAGCCCCCCGCCCCAGCTGTCTGCGGTGTCTTGACACCTGCCCGCCCCCCGCTCGCCACCCAAACTCCCACTTTGCCTCTTTTCATTTATTATATTTTTTCTACTGCTTTTTGCTCCTCCTGAGGGCCTCAAGGCTTCAGCAGCAGCAGCACAGGGGGCCCCCTGGCTCCCCAGTCGCTAACTAAGAACGCCCACACAACTTGCTGCTGCTAGGCAAAAACAAACTCCGGGGGCCCCCTGCGCGTTTTGCTGCTGAGGGCCCTTTTGCTTTCCTCTCAGCAGCAGCAGCAGC